CCCCCCCCCCCCCCCCCCTTGATAACCTCTCACAAAGGCCCCTGTTCTACCTTCAGTGATGAGCTGAGTACCATGGAACTGGCATCCTGCTCCAGAATAGGACATATACACTCAGTGACCTTTGCTTCATCCTCTAGATCTGCACTCCCTCTTACATCCTCCCTGATCCTGCACTTGCTTTTTTTAAACTGCAGCCCAAAGCATCCTCCTGGTCTGGGATACTAGGGAAATGAAATGTATCTGGGGAAAAAAAGATTTTAAGGATAACCAGATAAGTATGGCAATGTCCACTCACACAAAAGATGGGTACCTTTGAAGGTACAGTTATCTAAGAAAAAGCCAAGCCTTACTCAGAATGTCTACAGGAAAAATTACTTTGTCTTATGAACATACATCTGTCTTCTGGGCATCACACAAAGAGAGGTGTTGCCTCGTGACAATCACCCCACCACTTATTTCTTTGCTTGTGTTTTAACTTTAAGCCTGATCAGTCACTCTCCATTTCTGTAATCATAAAGTTGAGTATTCCTGTCTGAAGAAAACAAAAAAGTTTGTCCATCCTTCCTGAACTATATCATAGTTTTCTACCTGCATGATTTCTCTGAAGTATCATGATGGGTATGAATTTTAACAGATGGTATTATACCAATATTACTCCCTTACTCTGGTTCTCTAATTATGTACCCACCTATTACTAGGTGTCTGGAGCCCATGTTTTTCCCCGATTAGCTAACTATACTGTCATGTAAGAAAGCCAAAGTCAAGCTATCTTGTCCTTTTCCGAGGCAAGTACTCCAATACTAGAAAGATTAGACTATTTTGGAATACTCTGTTCTTGACAAATCCTTAAGTGATATTAAGGAACACTATTCAAACACTAAGTAAACTTGCTAATGTGGTTCAAATACCACAGGAAAAACAAACTATGGTTTCTACATTCAAACAAGATAATTTTTTTACTGTCTAGCGTAAGAACATCTATATTCTGTCAGAAAATGTTCCTACAGGACCAAAACTTTCTCCTCTAGTAGTTTATATCTTTTTCCCGGGGTTTGAACTGAGATTCAGTCTGCTGAAACATTAGGACTACCAAACCAAAGTAATAAAAACCCCAAACCCTACCAAACTACTCCCTCAAATTCTCCAAAGCAGGCCCAATGTTTCATAAATGATAAACCTGTTTAGAGAAGTCTTATTTCAACGGTAATATATGTTTCTGGGAGTCTGTTTCCTTGTACACCATAATAAAAACTATTTCAAATTAAAGGGAAAGTTTGTGTTATAGCAGAAATATAGCCCTAAATAATACAGGGTGCTCTGAGGCAACCTTGCAAGAACTAAATGGCTAGAATCACAGTGACTGCTTTATCTGCTAATTTTTCAACACAGTTCCAGCCTTACATCTCACTGAAATTTACCTTTCTTTCCAAATGGCTGAGGGTATAAAATGAAATATCAAGTAAGAAAGCAACCAGTATATTTTTGTGAAAATCTGTAATCCCTGCTTTTTCCCTGCTCTCCTTCCGATTAGCTTTTTTTCCTCACATCACAACTTGCAAATACTCACTTTCTAATTCTGCCTTTAAAGTTACCTAGACAAAATTTTATCTGAAGATTCTTGGTATCTGTTATGTTCCACACTTCTTCCTAATTTTCCTGCATCCCAAACACCTTCTGCTAGACCATCAGAAGAGATGTATTGGTGGTGTAATGAAAAAAAAATTGAGTGAACATAGAGTTTCCCAACAGGTTGAACACACTCCTCAAGGAAGAGCAGCACCAGTGAAATTTTGACAGAGGTAAAAGCCAGCTGGACAAAACTATAGAAAATTATCACTTCCTTAGTAACCAGCTGAGTTGGTTTAAGCTCTGTTGGGACCAGAGACCACATTACCATTGTCCCTCTCCCACCCTCAGACACAAGTAGGGCACAAACCCCAGGTTAAAATAAGAAGAAATTTAATACAACAGTGTAATAAGCAATCTGAACAACAACAGTAACAATGATAACAACAATAAACAGCAATAACAGTGAACAAAACAAAAGATATACAGAGAAATACCACAATGGTTACGGACAGCCCGACATGTGCTCCCCATCACCAAAGCCACAAAGAAAAAAAGTTCCCGCGTTGCAGTGCCGGACCTGACGTCAGCATGGTATGAATAACCTGGCTGGAGATCCCTTCCCCCTCTCTCTCTCTTAACCCTGTCCCAGATGAACCAGGACATAATCCACCCCTTTATTCTATACCATCTGCGTCATGTCCAGCTGCCATTTAGCAGTTAACAATAACAACAATTAACAAAGGCACAGCATAATTCACTGCGTGTTCTCACTCAGAATCAAGTCCCCCTGTGGTACGCATCGGACCTCTCCTTCTTTGTCCAGTATCACCTACCAGATACAACCAGGTCCTTGGGCAAAAGCAATTCCCTGGATAGGTTTGCCTTTACCTTTGCCTGGTGCGGGACTAAACCAGACCATTTTTCCCAGCACATCCCTCATGCGCACCACAGGGACTTTATCCTCATCTACAGCACGTGGAGGTTTCGACTGAGCCGGGCCAGCTCGACTGGCAGATCCTCTTGTGTTGACTAGCCAGGTGGCCTTTGCTAGATGCATGTCCCAGTCTTTGAAGGTGCCACCTCCCAGTGCTTTCAATGTGGTTTTTAACAGTCCATTGTAGTGCTCGATCTTCCCAGAGGCTGGTGCGTGGTAGGGGATGTGGTAGACCCACTCGATGCTGTCTTCTTCTGCCCAAGAATATATGAGGTTGTTTCGGAAGTGGAACCCTTATGTTGCCAGTTGCTATGTTTCCATTGCTGCAACCATTTCCACAGGGTATTTGCCACTGCCCACGAGTCAGTGTAGAGGTAGAGCCTTGGCCACTTTTCCCGCTCAGCAATATACAAAGCAAGCTAGATGGCTTTCACCTCTGCGAACTGGCTCGATTCACCCTGTCCCTCAGCTGCTTCAGTGACCCGTCGTGTGGGACTCCACACAGCAGCCTTCCATCGTTGATGTTTTCCCACAATACAACAAGACCCATCAGTGAACAGGGCATATCACTT